AGATGTGCTGGCTCTCATTTGAAGGACATGCTCAATTCTGGTAAAGTTAGGCCAAGTCAACTTAAGACAATTGACCAAGACTTTTACTATGACCTCGCCATTTGTGCGTGCCTGTGCCCATGCCCGGACATAATCACTTTTTTCTATTAAAGATAAATTTGATAGGCTTGGCAATATGATATGGTATTCTATATTTTAGTATACTCTTCTGAATGAACGGCTTTGAATATTTCTTGAAAAGAATACATTTTTAGTTTGTCGGTATGGTTTGAACTTTCTTGATCCATAAGATTGACCTGGTGAATGAATTTTTATTCTAATTTTGTTACTATTATCTAAAAATCATTTTTGAAGTGTCACATTGGGGTTTAATGCTAGAATAGCTGATCTTGGTTTCTTTTTCCCCAAAATAAGTTGAAAACATATGCCGTCTCTTGGCATACTAACCATTGACATTAGTAGGTTAGCAATGAATTCTGACAGTGCATAGCCAAGTGGTGTATTTTCTTGTTGTCTTCTAGGTTTAAATAGCGCACTTAATATTCTTTTTCGGCTTGGATAGAACTCAGCGCTGTTGTTTGCCGTGACAGTGGGAGTTTTGCTCTAGGAAGCTATATAGCTTTTTTTTTTTTTTACATGTAGGAGTCAGAAGATTTATTTAATTAACTTATATTAAAATGTTTAAAAAGATCTTGGATATGTAATTTAAGTGGGGTGCACTCGTCTGTTCTTTTTCTTCTTTGAATTGTCAGTTTTCTAACTTTTATCAGGCTATCTTTTTAAAAGAAGCAGTAGCAGCGAGTTTTCAAATAAATTGCAACATATGGGTACTATTTCTTGTATTGTGGTTGTTGATTCGTATTTGTTTTCCTCTGCAGGGAGAGCCAAGTTTTCACTTATTTGGATTCATCATGTGTATTGGTGCTACTGCTGCAAGAGCACTGAAGTCAGTATTACAAGGCATTTTATTATCATCCGAGGGGTAAATATTTCATTTCCATTAATCATTCTTATTCCAATTTTCAGCCATCCTGCCTTGATTATCATATAAACTTGCATTTGCATTTAGTTCCAGTAATATTAGGCTGAAATTTACTCAGACCTGTTTGTATATGTACTTTCTGATTAGGGAGAAACTGAACTCAATGAATCTTCTGCTATATATGGCTCCAATAGCCGTTGTCTTCTTGCTTCCTGCAACACTTTTTATGGAGGAGAATGTGGTGGGCATTACACTTGCGCTTGCTAGAAAAGATATCAAAATTATTTGGTACCTCTTGTTTAACTCCTCCCTGGCATATTTTGTGAATCTGACCAACTTTCTGGTTACCAAACACACCAGTGCTCTCACTCTTCAGGTTTTTTTTTCCCCCCTGAAATTTTAATGTTGCTTAAAATTTGCCTTGACTTGATTTTGAATTTGATAAATAGGTATTTGTAGGAAATGAATAATGTTTGATATAGCATTAAGATTTACATATCTACTTAATTTAAAAATCAATTTTGCATGAAAAGTTTATGTGATATGAAACATTTTGGGTGGTATAAATATAAAAAACAAAGTTTAAATACATAAGAGTTGGGTAGTTATGTATGTAAAATCTTGCTTATTTTTTTTAAATTAAGTCCTTCCATCCCTCTCTTGTGCATCAAAATAATCTGTGAAAGAAGCATGACTGGTTCATATGTCTCAGGTTCTTGGGAATGCCAAAGGCGCCGTAGCCGTTGTGATCTCAATTCTCATTTTTCGGAATCCGGTCTCTATAACCGGCATGCTCGGTTACACCCTAACGGTCATCGGAGTTATTCTCTACAGCGAAGCAAAGAAGCGCAACAAAATGAGCAGCTGATTTCTTACTGCCAGGTTTTATTCCACTTCTGCTTCTTCATTTTGTTCTTTTTCAGATTTTTTCTTATACATATATATATTATGATCAATCAGCATTTATCATTAGATTGCCAATTCTTTGAGATTAGTGTTAGCCCCCTTGTCGCTTATATAACTTCTACTTTTATTTGAATGATAATTTAAATGCCAAGTCGGTATTTGTGCAAAAAAAATGCAAGTTCTCCTTTGTTTTTTGAAAAATAATTTAAATGCCAAGTCGGTATTTGTGCAAAAAAATGGATTAAATTTGCAATTTTGCATTCAGGAAGTTCTCCGAATTTACATGGCTTGATTGTTGCATGGCGTAGGTCTTGTTGTTTGTGAGATGTCTCAAGTCAGTATACTACAATGGTTAGGGGCATTTACATACTTACCACACAATTTCATGTATTTACATATCGAACCCCCGAACTTTCATATTTACATACATAACATTTAAATTTTCAGTATCACATCAAAATTACCACTATTATTAAGCTTTTAAAAGTGAAATATGGCTATTAATGCATAAATATAGGTATTTAATATGTATTACATATGAATCATGGGATATGTATGTAAATGTTCCTAATGATTAATCAACCTTCTTAACCTCTTTTATAAAAGAGAACATGCCTTTTTAATATACCACTAATCAGTAATCAAACATTAGGTTAATTTAGCATAGTAATCATCTTTCTAGTACATACTTTATTGTTAAGTATTCAATATTTTTTATTTATATGCCTCATAGTTCTATGTATTTATATATTTAACATCTTTATTTTGATAGAAAAATCTTCATGCATCACACAATTCTATTCTATTTACATATCTAACCCCTAAAGCTTGATATATATATATATATAAATATATTATTAAGCGAATACGTGTGATGAAATTATTAAACAAATTAACGGACATGTATACTTTATTTTTAATATAAATATCTAAATTATGTTAATTTTGATTAAAATACATAATTTATATTATATCTAATAAATAGATTAATTGTTTACCTTGTATGTTTTAAATTTATTCTAGGTTTAATTAAAACTTGTTTACAGCTCATTTTTAATAAGGAAATTTGAACAAGATTTTAGAACTATTATTCATGAAAGGTGCAACCAACTGTAGTAGAGGTTCGCGGTGTAATTTTTGAAAATTTTTTTGTTCGTACCTTTGCACATTCGGACGGTCGATCACTGGGGGGTCACGTCGTCCGCTGCTGACTTGTATTACAGCTGTCCATGGTTAGCCATTTAGACATGCGGTGTGTCTCCGCAACTAGGGGTGTAAACAACTTGTGCTCGGCTCGTTTATATTTCGAGCTCAAAAAGTGTGTTCGTGTTCAGCTTGTTTGCTTAGCGAGCCGAACACGAGCCGTTCACGAACAAAGAGTCGTTTTGCCAACCCTAATCAAGTAGCTATGAGATGTTAATGATTGAGACAAGATTTAAAACATTATTTGAATTTAAATTAATAATTTCTATTATATTTTCTTCATTAATACTTTTAATTGATTATTAATCTTTGTAGCCTTGTAGTCAATTAAATTTTTAAAAAATATGCATCAAAGATATATATATATAGCGGTTTTTTAACTTAGCGGATGAGCCTAACACGAGTTTTTTAACGAGCCGAACACGAGCTGTTTGCGAACAACGAACCGTTTTGACAGCCCTATCCGCAACTGAATATTTTATCCTAATTTTTCATCTTTTGGGTCAACTTTGCTTAATAAGGAAGGCTTATTTTTTTGAATCTATTCATGAAAATGTCTATTTTTTTCTTCAAATAATAATAATAATAATATTTTTTATTTGATATGAAAGACTTGTGAAATTTTAAGTGTTAGTTTTGTAAAAAAGGCAAGAATTGTGTGGTACCGCATGTGATATACGCTGACAAAATAAAATAAAATAAGTATATCACCATTAAAATATGTACAAGTCTATACTCCTATGTATGTGCCAACATGATAAGGAAGATTTACATACACACCCAATTCCTATGTTTTCATAAGTCTAACACCCACTAAATTATAATCTTTACACACATGCCACTTAGGGCTGTCAAAAAAATTTGTCGTTCACAAACAACTCGTGTTCGACTCATTGATTGGTCATGTTCTAACAAATGAGCCGAACTTGAATAAGAAGAGATTTGGATCGTATGGATGTAAATAAAAAAAATAAATAAATTTGGGTGTTAGATATGAAAATAATTAGGAAATTGGTGGCATGCATGTAATTATTCCTAAAACAAAATTATAATAGTTTAATAATCTTGTGCCATCCATGAATACCTTTTCTAGGCCTTTTGTAACCTTTTTCCTCCACAATCTAAATAATCTCTTAGGACCAAACACCCACCATTCCAACCTTCAAAATCACTTTGTAATCCCTATGATAACCCATGGAGTTGACCTTGTAGTCTTATTCTTTACGCTTGAGAAGCCGATCGGTGAATGATCGACCAACCCAAAGATCAACCGACTTTGACACCGCCTAATTGAATCCTGGTCAACAGGAGGACGACCAGCCATATGTCTGTCAATTAGGCGTCAATTGACATAGAAACTGACTGTTTGAGAGTCGGTTCATCAAACAGGATCAGGGGGCATAATTATCATTTCATAATAATTCTAATATCTCTCTCTCTCCTCTCTCTCTCTCTCTCCTTTCTATACTCTATTTGGCCCAAACCCCTTTATTCTCATCTACATACATATCTAAGATCTAAATTTTTACTGTTTTTACATTTATACCACCCCAGATATCCACATTACAACAAAAACATCAAAATTTAATTTTTTTTAAAAAAAGTGAAATACATGTATATAAAAATTGAATTTTTTTGCATTAGATGTATAAATACATATGCCTAATCATCCTCCATGATTGGCTCCAACCTCCACTCGCTCCCATAATACGAATTGGGCAGACCCAACCAGAACTTAAACGCCTCCGCCGCCCTCTTCCTCTCGCTCCGCCTCGCCTTCCTCGCCGGCGAAGCGTGCTTGCTCGTAAACATCCTCGAATGCATCTCCACATATATTCTCTTATACTTTGTCTTCTTCGGCGCTATCCCATTCTCCTCCATGCACGCCACTATCTCCAGCGCCTTCCTGAAGAACGCCGCTCTCACGCACACATCCGCAAGCGCATCCAGCAGCCCTTCATCCGGTCTAAACCCTCCTCCACCATCTTCTCCGGCGCCGGCGG